ATAATATATAAAATGGGTTAGCCTTTTTGAAACCTTTTTATTTGTGACAAATATAACACAAAGATGCAAAAAATAAGTTTACATCAATTTATATTTATTTTTCTCGAAAAAATGCCAGTGTGGAAAGTAGAATTAAATCGCTTCCGAATGGTCTCAAACATTTTGGAATCTCACAATAATTGAGTGAAAAAAAAGATTCTCAAATTTGCATCCGGTTTGTAACAGTTTGATGAGGATGTTTTTTCTTGTCCTTATTTCAAAGCGAAAGAAGGGTATTCATGCATATATAGAAATTTGGTGAGTTGTAGTGCAAAGAGTTATGCGTGATATAGTGCCTCGCATATAATGTACTACCAGCTTTGCGGTATATTTGCGGTATAGTGATGCATTGTGTGTGGCAACAATGAAAACGCGTACAACATACGCCTTAGATGAAAGCTCCTCTCTCCTTCAACCTGTAATGGCTTTAGGAAAGGTATTGAAGTCTTCTTTGATCACCTGTTTAAAATCCAATTTGTGATATAAATACAAAAATGCGTCAGTGCCCAGATATCCCTTGTGAATGCCATGCGAAATGCTGATTTACGCCATTCAAAAGTTCAAAATGAAAATGGTGTGTTGAGTCTATTTAGTGGTCAATGTCCTGAAAGCCATATAGTAGTTCAAAACGATTCGTAGCATCTAAAAGTAGAATGAATTGACGAAAATATTTTTGTATCGGTATGATAGCAATTGAGAAAAATGCAGGATTGTGATGTTCCAGTCTTAGTTTTTGGCCGAAAAAATGTTGTATTGGAAAACTTTCAAAATCGTATTTTAAATTGTTTTGGTTGTTCCAATTTTTTTTCTATTTTGACCAGAGCATTGAAGTTGCTGGCTATGTAGCGCTGCTGGTGAACAGATCTGTTAAACAGCAGCTGCTGGTTGCGTACATATTCGCTGTGACGCGCGCTTGTTCATTTAACGATTCTCACACATAGTGTTTGTTCCTTGCATCCACAAGGAAACAGACAGAGAAGCGTATACAACAGACTCCGAGAGAGATTTTTATTTTGTTTGCACTGTGCATAGTATATGCATAATATTGTAAGTTCATTGGAGAATTTTTGTTGGCAAAAAAACAAACCGACTGGAACATCACTCGCCCGTTTAAAACTTGAAAAGAATCAAAGTTAAAACTACCCCGATAAATGTACCCAAGTTTAAACGGGCCACTCCAAATCCATCATAATCAATCGGAATCTGAGCGTTTGCGATCATAACGATGACCAACTTTTGAAACTCAATGGGTAATTTAAACCATGCTGACTCAAACAATAGATTCGAATATGAAACAATGTCGATTGTTGCGCGACCTCCGTAATAACAGTATAGAAATAGATTTGAACCGCTTATAAAAACGCAAGAGCATAGAACACCGATACTCAAATCGAAATGTTGCATGATCTGGAATTTGAGACAAAACGAAAAATGGTTGAAAATTGAGTGCCCAGTGGGCACTGCCCACTGCACATAAAGCTGACTTCTGATTAAGTGATCTAAACATACGATATCCGTTAAAAAAATTGAGCAAGCCAAATAAATCACACTGCAGGCTAGTTGAATAAAAATGAAAAGGCTGAAAAAATCGGCCGTTTCCGAAAACATTCTGAAATTTTCAAGAAAAAAATCAGAATAGAGTAAAAAATTTTTAGTAATATCAAGTCATGTTCAGACATACCCTCGAGCCGTATTATGAAAGTAAATCAATTTGACAAACAAGTCTTTGAATTGATTGGCATTCGAGTTGATTCTGTGATCCAATTCATTCATTAGCACACCAAAGAATTCAGGAAAAACGTGATGATATTCACAAATGCCAACGAAAAAGCTTAAAATTGAATAATCTATGATCATATAAAATGAAGCGGCCCCAGCACTCAACAAATTCAGTCCAATCCAACCGCAGAGCGTTCGCTGATTCCATGGTAGGCTAATGGGATAAAATAAAATTCTTTATGCAAGTTCAAATGCTTTGGATTCAATTTATGGCGAAATTACATAAAATAGTATGGAAAATACAATCGATCCCCAACAATGTGACCATAAACCAACAGGCAATACGAAATATTTATAATGCCCATCGTTGTCAATATTACAAGAAATGCACTGGGCAAGAAGATGGCCAAAGCTTTTGTACTCCATGTAATTTTAACGTTTGCTTCATTCAAATATACTGCTAATGATGTATTTTCATCTGTAAAGGTGGAAAAAAGATGATTTTACGAAAATTTATCTTGAACTTTTCGAAGAGGGATAATTTGATATAAAAAAATTTATTTAATTCGGATAGAATATGTGTATATGTACCTGTAATATCTGAAAAATAATTACTCGAATCATAGATTTGCTGGAATTTCGTGAAAATGTCATAAATCGTTTCGCGAAGAATGAATGCGATGAGCCACATGTAAATTACACTGTGAATCAATGAATATTACAGACAAATTAGTCGATGTGACATGAAATTGAGCTTAAATTTATCGAAAAAATGGTCCATTAAACACATTAGAATTGACCATTTTTTATGTGGCTACCTGAACAAAGCAGCAACTTGAAACAATGCATAGAGGCAATTTTCAAAGTCACTGCCAACAAATTCATAGATAAAAAGAGCACTCGCTATTTCGGCCAACAATTCAGTTATCAACACAACCACGGTAACCGAAACATTGAAACGTTTCACCCAAAGTGAACTTGTAGCTGGGTAAATGCACAGCCAAGCAAATATTTGCTGATTTAACTCAAAAGCCATACTGTTCAAATTGATTAAATTGCGTTGAAATTGGATTTTTAAATTCGTTATGAAAATTTCTCTTTATGAAGCTCACTGAATTCACGACCGACTCTTGTAAACGATTCGAGTGTATGTAACCAACTCACGATCAATTGAGTTCTACGCATCCCTTTTATATTCATTAGTTTTGATGGCACGAACGTCCCATTTCCTGTGTAGACGTCTGCCATTACCGATAACAACTTCACATTTTTACCAACCCAACTCAATATTCACTGTTTCGACACACATTCGTTTGGGAAAAGAGAGAAACACGTACAGATGTGTCGATTATTCCATGAATAAACATTTTCCAACTCATTTTAATTATTAAAGCTTTTATATTTATTCCATCACATAATGACAACAGTAGTTCACAGTGACATCTCAACTATTTCAAACGGGGAAAAAACTAGGGAAAAAATAACTGTTCTCTACCACAATTATTTTGATTTATTCCCAACGAAATTAAAGCATTTATAACACATCGGTCAATAAGTCCCGAGCCTAAGTAGGAAAACAACATTTTTTTGCCAAAATTCAATTTTATTCATCAACATAGTCCCCTTTTAGAGTGATACAATCATTCCAACGCCTTTCTAGCTTTTCGATACCAGTTTTGTAGAACGATTTGTCCTTGGCCTCAAAATAGGCTTCAGTTTCGGCAATCACCTCCTCATTCGAGCCATATCTTTTTCCCTGGAGCATTTTTTTGAGATCGGCAAAAAGCCAGTAGTCACTGGGGGCCAGATCTGGAGAATAAGCCGGGTGGGGAAGCAATTCAAAGCCCAATTCATGCAGTTTGGCCATCGTAACCATCGACTTGTGACACGGTGCATTGTCTTGGTGAAAGAGCACTTTTTTCCTTGCCATATGAGGCCTTTTTTTGGCGATTTCCTTCTTCAAACGCGTTAGCAATGCTATGTAATATTCACTATTGATGGTTCTTCCCTTTTCAAGATAGTCGATGAATATTATTCCGTGCGCATCCCAAAATACTGAGGCCATAACCTTGCCAGCTGACTTTTGTGTTTTTGGGCGCTTTGGTCGACTTCCACCGGCTTCTGTCCATTCAGCTGACTGCCGATTTGACTCCGGAGTGAAATGGTGGACCCAGGTTTCGTCCATGGTCACATAACGACGCAGAAACTCGTTCGGATTGCGCTTAAAAATGGTCAAACAGCTCTCCGAATCATCGACACGATTTTGTTTTTGTTCCGGTGTCAACAAACGCGGCACCCATTTCGAACACAGCTTTCTCATGCCCAAATGATCATGCAAAATTGTGTACACACTGCCTTTTGATATCTTTAGGATGTCAGCTATCTCCTGCAATTTCAGTTTGCGGTCGGCCATAATCATTTTGTTGATTTTTGTGATGTTTTCTGGAATAACTGCCTCATTTGGCCTACCAGAGCGTTCAGCATCATCGGTGTCCGTACGACCACGTTTGAAATCGGCAAACCATCGTTTGATGGTTGCAATTGATGGAGCAGAGCCCGGGTAACACTTTTGAAGCCATTCCTCAGCCTGAACGGTATTTTTACCCATTAAATAGCAATGATAAATCAACACACGAAATTGCTTTGAATCCATTGTTTTGAAAATTACAAAAGTAGCGTCACTTAAACCACTGTAACTAGGTAAATAATAGTCCAAATGTCATGAAATTTTGACAGTAATCTTTTGAAGGTTGGTACTTTCGAAAAATCATGTGGATATTTCATTAGTGGCGCCATACGGTGGTTAGGCTCGGGACTTATTGACCGATGTGTTATTTCATGCAGTTCCCAACGAAAAGGGTGAACAAATTCAATTTTCAGAGCCTGTTATTTGGTAAACGGTAGGTAAATCAATTAA